ATTGCGAGTGGAATAAGGGTGCAATTCGGATTGAACCGTATAATTGTTTTTAGTATTATGGATTTCGAGTGAAGATTTATAAATTAAAAGTATAGGAAGTGGCATAATTTGGAAACCCAAAAAAAGAAGGCGACAGTGCTAGCGAAAATTCATACTTCTGCCATTACTCTAATAACTCTTTTTTGCCACATGAAAACTTTATGAGAATGACAGAAGTCACCCCATAGTAAAATACCGGATGAACCATATATAATAACAAGATCTGAGAACATGAGAACTGACAATATTCCTTAAACGTCGGATCAAAAAGGTGATACTAGATAGTTTCTTCGCTTTAGTGATTCGATATGAGGAGCCCAGTTGGGCCAATCGTCTAGTTGCATGCCAAGTTATTTCACACTACCGCCTTTCGAAGAAACCAGGATAGATTGATTCTTATGTAAGTAAATGTCAAGTTTGTAACAAGTAAACCAAGTTTGAGCTGAATTCATGATATCTTTCGATTTCGTACATAAACTGTTCAGGTCCGCACTTTTACAAATGAATGTTGTATCATCTGCGAAACGAACGGTCTTCGTCGGAGATATAAAATAATAATGGTCATTTGTATAAATAAGGAATAGAAGGGGGCCCAAAACAGAGCCTTGAGGATTTTTTTTCTGTTTTCAATCAGCTTTCCATATATATACCTACTCCTAGGCTAGGATGAAATATAGATTCTAGATGAACAGAAGTTCAATTATCGCCTACACTAATATGTGTTTTCTCTTCGAAATAATATGATTAACCATCAGTAAGTATGACTATATGCACTTTTGTTTGGAGAATTCACTAACTATATACAGGGTGTCCCAAAATTGCTGGGACACAGAGCTACCACGTGTAGAGGAGGTCAAAATAAGTTGATTGGACCCAATTTATTTATGTGCCAAAATGTACCGTTTGTCCGTGAGAAGGGTTCAAAGTTCACTTGAAAAAACACATTTTTGTACGCTGTTCAGGTATAAGTGGAACGAATTTGATGAAATTTGGCAATAGTGTATTTCAGAGGATTACTTTCCTTTTGGTAATCTAAGAAACCTAGAAGAAATTGTAGAAGGGTTGAAACCACCCTCACCCCCTGACGTTTTCTTCAGAACTTTTTTAAGGGTCATGATACGGTTCTGAAATTTTTTGAGCTTGAAGACTCATCAATTACCTTCATTTTATCACTCTTGTAGAAATTTCGTATACCAAATAGTTTTGAAGAAAAAAAAATGTTCTCTCAAATAATGCTACCAGATATTCCTATAGTAATGGTACCCGCTGTAATAACAAAATTGAAGAATTTATTGAAACATTTACAGACCACGTCAACATCAAACTTGAATGACAATAAATTTGTTTCCTGTCGAAATCACGACTTGCCTTCGTTTCCACTGCCAACTAAGTTTTATATCACAATTTAATTAAACTTGTACTATAGGAATATCTGGTAGCATTATTTGAGAGAACATTTTTTTTCTTCGAAACTATTTGGTATACGACATTTTCACAAGAGTGATAAAATGAAAGTAATTGATGAGTCTTCGAGCTCAAAAAATTTCAGAACCGTATCATGCCCCTTAAAAAAGTTCTGAAGAAAACGTCAGGGGGTGAGGGTGGTTTCAACCCTTCTACAATTTCTTTTAGGTTTCTCAGATCACCAAAAGGAAAGTAATCCTCTGAAATACACTATTGCCAAATTTCATCAAATTCGTTCCACTTATTCCTGAACAGCGTACAAAAATGTGTTTTTTCAAGTGAACTTTGAACCCTTCCCACGGACAAACGGTACATTTTGGCACATAAATAAATTAGGTCCAATCAACTTATTTTGACCTTCTCTACACGTGGTAGCTCTGTGTCCCAGCAATTTTGGGACACCCTGTATACATGTAGGTGTACATTATCTATGCATTTATTGTTCAATGTTCTTGTTCATTCATTTCATTCAAGTATAATTATTATGTTATTATGTGCCCGTTCAATGAGTTCCTTCCTTCTTCCTACCATAAAGGCAACAGTATCCAAAAGCCAAAGAGAAGGAATAATGATTTTACAACCATCCTGTAACGGAACGGTCATTAGTGATTCAATTTGTGAATGTGAGAATTTCTTTTGAAAACGAACAAACGATGGATTTGAATAAACATTGAGATATTTAGGTAGGTATATTTGAATCAAATTAGGTACCTTCAAAAAGGTTATTGATATAATGTATATACAGGGTGATCTTTGAATAATTTTACAAAGAAGTGCATCATAGTGGATTTGTTAAGTAAAAATAGAGATAAAGGCACCAAGATGTCGGAAGTAACATTCAGACATTTTCTTCTCGCAATGATTTCGAAGTTTTTGGCATACGAATCGTGTTTTTGGGATATTTATTTATTCGAGCATGCCATCACATTGTGCTGTTGTACAATGCTCAAAATATGCAGCGAGAGACGAAGAAATAATATTTTCCAGGTAGGTAAATTATGATCTAAAAGTACTGTAGTCACTCACATACTTTTCATTTTGAGAACTGTCTGTAGGTTAATCGAGGAGGTGCGGTACATTCATTATTCCTGATTTGTTTGGTATTTTCCCTCCTCGTCTATAAAATAAAAATATGAATACTATTTCAATATACGTATAGTTAGGACAAATCAGATGATATTTGCCCCAAAATGTCACTGCGTTTAAAGAATTTTCCTATCAGAGAGCCTAAACACAAATTCCCTAGCTTGTCAGTGACAATTTGTATTGAAAAGGGTTTGGAGAAGAGAAATAGGTAAAGGTACTAAAAATATAAAATTTTTACTTATCTTTGGACGTTTCGGGAACGAATCTGCTCCCGTTTTCAACATAAAAAATGGAGTTTTTGTATTGCAAATTCGTATTTGTCCTGACACTTTTCACTTCTTAGTGACAATTGATGACGTTGGCAATCAAATGAGTTACAGTATGTTTTCATTAATAAATTTTCAATTTACCATTTCCATTTTCAGATTTCAGTAGAATACCATGTTCTATATCTATATATCAACTGAACAGGAAGCAATGCTATTGTCTCCGTTCAGAAGAATACAAGCAGATTCCTTGATTTTCCTCTTCTGATGGTCTTTATCTTCTTCTCCAATGATTTTAATATTATTCCACTCTGCCATATGTTGTCCATCTTCAGTAAGGATATGTTCAGCTAGTTTCTATTTGTCGATGTGTCTTTTCTTTATATTCTATTTATGTTCCTTCGTCCTTACTGAAAGAAGTCTCTTGGTTTCAGTTTTCACCAGTATAAAACTTTCCACAAACACAAGGTATGAGTACTGTGAATACAATTTTTTTTATCTTCATGCTGGGAAATCATAATAACCTACATTAGCATATACCTATATATACCTTTACGCTTATTATTATTAGGTATATATACGTCAGTATTTTGCATTATACTTACCTATATCCTTAAGGAAACGGATATTGATTGAATGAAAATATATAGGTACGTGACCTGATGTAGAAATGACGTATAGGTATATATATTAGGTAAGAATAAACTCTATATAGAAATAACGTTCAATTTCCTGTTAGCGTTCAAAATAAAAACATATCTCTTAGGTATATACAACAAAAGTGTCATAATCAGCCATAGAATAAAAAATATTGTCCTATACCTAAATAACACACATATATAAGTATATAATAGGACTATATTTTTTATTCTTCGGCTGATTATGACACTATTATTGTATATTTAGAGAAATGTCCTTATTTTGATCGCTAACAGGAAATTGAACGTTGTTTCTATATAGAGTTTATTCTTACAGAATATATTAAACCATAATATGTAATTTCTACATCAGATTAGTCAAGTCAATATCACGTACCTATACCTTTCTTTATCTCTTGGAGCGCACGAAACGAAATCCCTATAATGTTCGAAGAACATCGTGCGCACCAAGGAACGACAGGGAGAGGACGTGCTGCGGGAATTGGATTTTTTGTTATCTATTGGAGCTTACAAGTTCTATATGGCGAAGGATACTTCCAAAAACTTTTCCGTTCAATAGACAAACGAGTTTTGGCAACGTGTTGTTCGACATAGGTATTTCAAGTTTGACAACGAAAGGATGTGCTGACTGATGAGCTTGTTGAGTTCGCCTGGTGAATGCTAGTGATAGTGATGGAATATTATATACCTACTTAGCAGAGATTTCTGAAGAACATTTCCCGTGAAAGTACCTATACTTATAGGTACCTATAAAAAAGTGAAAGGTCGCCAATTTTCCTATACGGTGTTCTAATGATGTCAAAGGATTGATTAGTGACTTGGCATATGTGGCAGAGGAGATGATGAAATAAGTAGGTAAACTTGTAATTACAAAAGAATGATGAATCCTATTATCTCCGTCACAAAAATTGGTGCTTAAGAGCTGAAAATATTTTGTTATGAAAATTTAAGAATGAATTAATGCTTTTCAGTAGGTAGATTGGATAGCAGATAAAATCCTATAAGAATCCTTCTTCTCTATTTTCGATGTGTACCTATAGCAACTATACCTTTCAGTTCGAATTCTGCGGACATTTCGAGACTTATTCAAATTAATAACATAAACCCATATAATTTGTGACCTTTCCTTTAAGAGTCCTGCAATAAATAACCTGAAAACCTCGTGCACATCCAAGAGTTTTTTGAAGCATTAAAGAAATATACATAACAATAGTCTTCTACAAATACATTACAATAACGAAAAAACGAGAAAAACACACAGCGTAGGCGTCAAAACGAAGGCCTCCCTAATATTCCGTCTAATTAAATATTGCTTAATAATCCAGCCGGCGTTAGAGAACGCTCGTATTGGTCGCCGCAGACACTTTCAGCCATGATCCTCGAGCGACAACCGCATTGGTGCTTTCCCGCGCTTTCACTCCGCCCCCAATCTCTTAATCCTTATCTCACTTATCTCCTAGCAATAAGTACTTTTTGACGCACCACAGTCAACAATCGGTGTTGCTCCGTTCGGACCCTCTGACACTCTTAATTAGTACATCGAATAGTGAAGGTAGTGCTAGGTGCAGGACCAAGTTTGTCCCATTCATCCGTGGTGTTTGTGTACAGTGACTATTGACAGTTGTGTGCCGAGAGCATGGTATCGTATTACGGACAATCTTCGAGCATGTATCGTCACCAGCAACAGATAACTCCCAACGGACACTTCCAAGCGAACAATCCTATGCATTCGTGGTACGCTGGCTACCACCATCAATCCCCCCAGTTGGCTGCGCCTACTGTTGGTTATGGTGCCCAGGAGGACCAGCAAATGTGGCATCACCATCCTGCACACCCGGCGCACGCGGTTTTTCAGCACGATTATTCGGACTTTATACATTCGGGCATCCAGGGTTTGCAACACGTTCAACATCACCATGTGGATCCGGACAATCAACTCCCGTCGCCGCCTATAACCGTGTCCGGTAGTGATATGTCTAGTCCTGGGGGCCAGAGCGGGAACATTTCGCCCCATCACCATCAGAATCATACCCAAAATAGGCCTCCGCCGGCTAGGAGTCCGTACGAGTGGATCAAGAAGACGTCTTATAATTCTCAACCGAATCCAGGTGAGTTATGTACGTAAATCGACTTCTATATCCTACAAATATTATAAAACGCGATAACATTCCAAATTTGAGACTTTTGATAGGGAATGTCATCCAGTCAGAACTTTTGCGAGAAAGTGTTAATTATTCATTCAGCATATGGTATGCTGCTCCGTTTGGTCTCTGCTTGCAATCATTGTTATTCAGTGGATTTTATAGGATAATTTGCTATTTTAGGTAAATTTGTCAGTTATTGTCGATGTGATTAATTGTTTGGCTTTCTTCTCTTGGGTAATTGGAGAGTAAACTGAGTCAACTGAATGTAGTAAAGTAAAACCATAGAATAGTTGATGCTATTAATCATTTGGCATTGGCTTTCTTCTCTTGGGTAATTGAAGAGCAAACCATATCAAGTCAACTCAACTGAAAGTTGCAAAGTAAAACCATGCAAATGATTATAGTTGGCCATACATTAACGACCCAAATGACTTATTGTCAAGGAGCTATTTCAATGTATTATATCATTTGTTCAACTTATTTACGAACAAAACCAAAATGAACGCAGCCAACTGATGTCTACTAAAAATCAAACCGCGTATATATACCTAAATGGTGATAGGGATTGTTCGCGTATAGGTTTCCTAAGTGCATTTCAATATCGGTGGCATACTTTAGATCAATTGATATCGATTTTCACATCAGTGAAATGTTTGCACCGAGGTTTGTACCACGAACGTGAAACGATGAAAGCAATACCTAGCCATTATATGCTGTATTTACCTATGCAGTTTACTAACAAAAGGATAGCAGATGATGTGATAAGAATGCATATTATATATTTGTAATAAAACTAATAAATGTACGCCGTAATGCGACGTACACTCGTATTCAGAGAATACCAAGGTGCGGTTGGACTGTATGAGCGCTCTTATTGCAGCAGTGATCAAGGGAGCTGACACCGTCCATATGTGACATGATCTCTGAAGCCAAGTTTACGTATATATCTACTAGCTTCAGTCGAGCTGCAGTGTTAAATAAGCATATTTCATAGTTACATCAATTATTGTTTAGGTTCAACAGAGGTAATTATATTATAGCCCCCCAGATTATCCGAGGGTATTACTGGGTTTGTCTATTCCTTCTTTGGAGTACCATAGATTGATGACTTGATATATAGGAATACCTAATAAAGCTTATGGATTTTTCTTTCATCGTCGACTCTTTCACACGTATTGATAATATAATTTTCCATATTTTGGAATAACATTGAGAGAGAACGCATTTTCAATCATTGGACTGGAAGATGCGTTGTCAGACTCGATGGACTTGGGTTGAAGAGTTTCGGAATTGTATTTTGACTGTCATATCACAATGGTCGTGAAGTTGGGATATACTTGGATATACTAAGCTATAAGCTGGTGAATACGAACTATAATGATATATATGTCTAAAGGGGTTCAAAAATACTTGGAATCCATAATTATTTCCGAGATTATTCCATACATCCAAATTATAGCCCGAAATTCATTTCGAGATTGATACCAGTACCTGGTTAGGTACGCCCGATGATCTTCGAACATTATAGGATTCCTTTTCGTACGCTCCAAGCGATGAAAAAATACAGAATTCTAATAGTCTTATGCGAGTGGGGTAATAATCCGCTATCTCTTCCTTACTAATCTACTACTCCATAGCAACCCTGAGTGATGCGATCCGACGGGGCCTCCGAAAAGGACAGCGGAGGGAGTCTATATATCTATTTCCTGGAGGTATAGGTAGTCTCGTAACATTATTATTTTTTTTATCGATTGGAGCGCAAGAAAGGGAATCCCTATAATGTTCAAGGAACATCGTGCGTTCCTAGGATAGGATAGGGATAGGAGGTAGGTATTGGAATTTTTTTTGAACTTTTGGAGATTATATGTTGTTGGGAATACTTCCACAGGCAATGAATTCCAGAGCCTAGCCGTTCTATGGATGAAGGAGTCTTGATAAAGTGCTGTTCGACATCTTTCGAGGTTGACAACGAAAGGATGTGCTGACTGGGCTTGTCTAGTTCGTCTGATTGGTATTGCTAGTGAAGGGATGATAGCAGAGATTTCCGAAGAACATTTCCCGTGGAAGTATCGATAGAAAAGTGAAAGTTCGCCGACCTTTCTACGGTGTTCCAATGATGTCAAAGAGTGAGTGAGTGTGGCGTCACCCACCAGGCGAATGGCTCTTCTCTGGATGGAATCTAAGAGCATCAGCGTATGTTTTGGTGCTGAACGCCATATGTGGGAACAGTATTCTAGAACAGGCCGTATCTGCGCTTTGTAGATCATGAGAAGCTGTTGAGGTGTAAAGTAGCTTTTCGCGCGGAACAAGAATCCGAGTTTTTGTGAAGCAGCTTTTGCGATGGATCTGACATGATTATCCCATAAAAGAGTGTTGCTGATGGAAATACCGAGCATAAATATGGTGGGGATGGTGGAGCCAGACATTACAATATCGGGCATACTGAGTTCTGCCTTTCTAGAGAAAATGCAGGCTTGAGTTTTGGTGGCGTTGAATTCAACTAGGTTGTCTGTCCCCCAGGCTGTGATTTCAGCAAGATCTTCATTGACAGCATTGACCTGCCCGCGCCGTGAGTTCTTAGTTTCCTGGGAAGAAATGAGAATTCTGGAAGAGAACGCAGTATGGAGGGTACTATCATCTGCAAAGCTGTGGATGGGGCAAGTTGTTACTCCCAACAGATCATTGATATGAATAAGCAGGAATAATGTTGGTGCCAAAATTGATCCTTGTGGAACGCCGGAATTGATGCCAATAGTATCAGACGATACACCGTCCACCACCACGTGAAGCGATCTGCCTGAAAGAAAACTCGATAAGAGATGGCATAGCTGAGGTGGTAAGCCGTATGATGGTAGTTTGTGGAGGAGTCCTTCGTGCCAAACACGGTCGAATGCTTTCGATATGTCCAACGCGACATCTAGAGATTCCCCGTGTTTTTCTATTGAAGCTTGCCATAAATGGGTGACGTAGGCAAGTAGATCTCCAGTAGATCTTCGGTGGCGAAAGCCGTATTGTCTATCATTGATGATTCCTGAGCTCTCCAGATATTTGATAAGCTCAATATTGATGGCTTTCTCCATCACTTTGGAGATTACTGATAACAGGGCAATAGGCCTGTAGTTGTTGGGCAGGTTCTTGTTCCCTTTTTTGGGGATTGGTTGGACTCTAGCTGTCTTTCAGCATGATGGAAAAATACCCGACCTGTACGAGATGGTAAACAACTTGCAGAGAATCGGTGTTAATTCTGGTGCACATTTTTTGAGGATAATGGGTGGAATTCCATCAGGACCGTTAGCCTTATTCGTTTTGAGACCAAGCAATTCGTCTGATAGTGCGTTGACGGAAGACGATTTCGGGCATTCGACTCTCAACGGGTGGAATGTCTGGCGGCACTTTTCCTTGGGAATCTAAAGTAGAGTTTGCTGCGAACATCTCTGCAAAAATATTTGCTTTCTCCTGCGATATTGTTGCTAATGTGCCGTCGGATTTGGACAGTGGTGGAAATGAACTATTAGTGAAATTTCTTCCGACCGCTTTAGCAAGGGACCAAAACGAACGGGAGCCATTGGGGCAATCTATGAGTTTCGATCTTATCTTGGCATTGTATGTTTCTTTCGAAGCGATGGTAGCCTGTTCGTTTCAAGGCAACAGTTCTAGAACAGTTTTTGTTGAACCAGGGTTTCGAAGGTGATGATCTTTTCGAAAAATGAGGTATGTATGTGTCCATTCCGAGCATATAATATATGTATGTCCAAATAACTTTTCGGTGTTTTGTCATCAAACCCAACTGGTTTGCCTCTTTTGTAATTTTTTGTTGTTCTGTTCCCATACGTGGCATGTGTCAAATTCAACTTTTGCATTGATGTCGTATATATGATGAGCATGATAGGAATTCATATTTTCCATCACTTTCGTATAGATACGGGCTTTATTGGCGGACAATGAAGTGATGTAATGGCATGCGGCACGGGTGTCGCCAGAAAAATTAACAGAGGGGAGCAGATCTTTTCCTTTTATATAGTTTCATCACAATAAATCAATGCGTCGCAGGCGAACATTTTTGATCAAGTTGTAAAATGCTTTGAGAAAAAAGTATCTGAAATTATCCCTACTAATATTAATTGCTTAGGAACTGAAACTTTCAAATTTCAGTTCGTTAATTTATGCTATATTCTTGATCGGCAAAGTGCATTTCTGATATATAGGTAACTAATGATAATAATAGTATTCTATAGGTGTAGGTATCAATAAATAAGATGATACAGGAGACATATGGTCCCCTCCTTGTCCAGCGCAGTATTATGCGATCTATATGGTATATATGCGTGACGCATTGTCATGTGATGCCTTCGAAAGGGGAAGGACTGGGGCTGTATCGTTAGACTATCTCTACTATTAGGTTGATATTCCTATAACGCCAATATAATCCATTAGGTAATGCGTTCACTGGACAAAATTTAATTTTATTTCCAATAAAATATTGAAAAATAGATACTTTTACATCTTTGGGTCACTAAATGTGTCTTTTTGCAATTCCTTTGTGTGGTCACAGTCTGTAAGCTCTCTACTGTGGTGTGGTGAATGGGCCAGTGAACAATTTTATAACTCAAAAGTCAAAAGTTCTTCATCACAAACGCGCAAAGTAAACTATTGCTAATCCAATGCAACTAAATACGATATAATAAGTATATGTAGTATTGTGTATATCTCAGAGCATTTTTACGTTGGAAATCAGGGACGCGCCAAATATCTTCGGCTACGTCGTGAAGGGACTAGGTATACTTTTTAGTACTTATGACTAATATCTATATCCATTTGTGGCAATAAAGTACACAAGAAATAGTAATAGAATACGATACAGATAGTAACAAAAAAAAACAGTATCAAAGTTTGAAGTATTGATCAAAAAAAAAAATTAAGGAATAAAATAGCGATTGTTTTCAAACAGATAATCCAGAGGTATTACGAACTTT